GGGGGGGGGGGTTGCAATAGGAAAAAACATCCTGGTATCTTTTTCCATAGCCAGGAAAGGATTGAAAATTAAGAGCTGGCATTTTCCAAGGGGTGCCTTGTGCCAAAAACAGCTGGAAACAATTGCTTTAGAGACAATCCAACTCAACCAGGCCTGTCCTCTGGTTCAGAAGAGTCTGCGTGTTGGCATTGACCAGCAACACAGTGCAAGTAATTCTAGCCCTTGCTTAAAAGGCCACTTCCCACCACCTCCATTCTTTCAAAACGGCTAACTGAGATGGAAGCAGGGACCAGCCACAGTGCATGACAGCACTGAGGAACCAAGAATTTTGTATTTCTGATTTGTCAGCTGGCATTTTTGCCTCTCTCAGGCCAGCCACAGCTACTCAGGAGCTGAAAGAAAGCTCCCAGGGAATCAAGATCTCACACACCAGGTATCCTAGATTTGCTGGCTAGCATTTTCCCCATGCTTGCTCCCACCCCCCAGACTATGGAGGGGCTGATCCAAAGCTTCTTTTCACACGTCAAGTTGCTCACAACAGCAACTTGGCTCCTCCACCTTCGGGCTAAGATCATGGTCTTCTTGCAAGGCGACACCAGGGGGGTGAGGTGCCAGCCCCTGGAGGGACATGTCCTCAACCCAAGCATAACACCAGAGGCTAGGGGGAACCCAGGCAAGATCCGCCAGTGCAGGCAGGGGCTTGCTCACAAATGAGCCCTTGTGGGCTGGCTCAAGGCACACATGACTGAGCCGTGACACGCATGATTCTCCCCGTGACAGCCCTAGCAGCAGGCGGAATTCCCGGGTCCCCCGAGCCGCCTTACCTGCCCCGGAAACGAACAGGGCGCCCCCACGGCACGCGAGTGCCCACAGCAACAGCACCCGCGCCAGCCTCATGGCGCCGCACGGCCATCCCCACACTGCTGCCCCGCCGCCGCCCGGCCCCATTTCTACCCGTACTCCGGACAGGCGCAGGCTGCCACTTCCGCCCGCCCGCTCCCTCCGCCTTCCTCCCCGCCTCCTCGCCCTGATTAGCCCCTGTGGTGCAGGGGGTAGGATGAGCCTTTAGGGTGCAGCGCGGCTGTTGCTCGCCTTATAGCGTCCTGCCTGCGGGGTCTGCAGGCAGCCTCCTTCCTCTCTGGCGCCTGCTCCTAGCTACCAAACCCAGGGTGTCCCCCGCTTTTCTTCTCGGGACCCCTGGGGACAGCAGATGGGAAGTTCGGAGTAGATATGAGGGAAAACTTTCTCAGAAGGGTAGTGAAGCACTGGGACAGGTTAGCTAGGGAGGTGGTGGGAGCGCCATCCTTGGAAGACCGGGCAGCATTGCCAACTCTCATGATTTTTGGTGTTGTTCGGGAACTACACTTCGGGAATGTGAAAAACTTAGCTCTTTCTTTTGCATATATTTAAAAGTTGGCCAAGGCATGTGATCTAGTTGCATTCCTCCCTAACACAGCTATGCCAGCAAAACTTTATAGTTAGTATAATGCTACTGACTAAGGTGAAAAAAACATGCCCCCTGTAATTGAGATAGAAGTGCTATTGTTGCTTTGAGCAGGGGTTGAACTAGATTGATGTTTCTCAACCCGTGGGTTGAAATCCAAAAGAATAGATGAAAAGGTCACAAACTTTGAAAATGGATCAACAAACTTTAAAAATGGATTTTCTTTTAAAAGAGAAACACATGGGAAACTGTGGCTTTTCCCTTCCAGCATGTAAGGGGCTGCTTGGGGCCCCACAATGCCACCCCATACCCCTCAAACTGAGGGGCAGGGGGCAGCAGGTCAGGAGTGAGGGGCACAGAGTGGAAAGTTGCCACTGATGTTTATAAATATGTCATGGTACAATAAAGGTTGAGAATCATTGGACTAGATGACCTCCGGGGGTCCCTGGCAACCCCCATTTTCTATGATTCAGGCAAATGTCTCACTCCCTGGCACCTGCTCGTAGGTACCAAGCCAGAGTTCTCCACCTCTCTTTTTGGACTCCTGGTACTCCCAGATATACTTGACATGCCTCCCCTGGCTCTGAGTTGTCACTGGTTGTTTGCCCACAATAATGGCCATTCTTCTGTGGCAAAACACTCAGCCTGTTTTCAGCACTGTGGATTCTTCTGGGTTTCTCTGGTGGCTCTTGTTGGGTGTGCCACCATACCTAAGCATGCTAACATGTTTAACACTGAGAATGATGAAGTGCTTCAGCAGCCTGCCCCAGGCCATGAATATAACCTCCCCAGTCACCATCAAGGGAAAGACCCTAGAGGCAGTTTATAATTTCCCCTACCTCTGTAGCCACCTTTCTCAGAGAGCGAACACTGATGAAGAGATCCATCGCAGGATCCAGTGCACAAATGCCTCCTTTGGGAAATTGCTTTGGTGTGTTTTTATTCTCTGGAAAAACACCAAGGTCCTGGTCTACAATGCAGTCATCATCCTCACTCTCCTCTACAGGTATAAAATCAGGGAGACCTACCATCGTCATCTCAAGAGACTGGAAAAGTATCACCAATGATGCCGCTGGAAAATCTTCCGCATCTAATGGAGAGATTGCTCCACAAACACCAGCATCCTTGCTGAAGCAAGCGTCACCAGCATTGAGTTGGTGATCCTCAAGCACTGACTTCACTGGATCAGACATGCACATGCCTAAGTCCCGACTTCCAAAACAAGTGCTCTGCTCCCAACAGCCTGAGATCTTGCAGTAGCCAGAGGAAATGCTACAAAGACACATTAAAAGCATACTTAAAGAAAATGGATGCCAACATCAAGAGCTGAGCTGGAAGTAGGACAGGATGAGTCCTGACAAACTGGCTGCTGACCAATTTCAATGATGCTGTAACCTCAACCAAGCAGCAGCCCATTTCAAGGTGAAGTGTTTTGCCCTTGATGAAGAAGAGAAAGAATGGAGGGGGGAAAGGAGAGAAATCCTAGCCTACAGCCTACTCTCCCCTGCAGAAAAACCTACAACTTCTGTGGCCAGGTCTGTGGCTCAAGGATGGGACTCTTAAGTCACTTCAAGGCTTATCAGTTATCAGTGACTTGCAGTAGAGATCATCCTTGAATTGAGGGATTGCCAATGACAGCATTGTAGGGCATCCTTGAAAGGATCTCAAAGCACCTCAGGGTGCCACAGCACCCCGGTCAAGAACCATGGTACTAAGCTATACTGGGTCAAGGCAGTACCATTAACCTGCATTATTCTAGATTCTAAGGATCCTGGTTACTCCCTCAGTGCCATGTTAGCATGGCACTGGGAGAGTTATTGTGAGGTGCTTCCAGTCTAACGGCTTTGTTTGTGTGAAAAAAACAGCACTATTTTTTAATCTTCTGGTGTTTAAATCAGTTGCCAACTCTCATGGCATGACTGCAAGTCTCACAATGGAGGTTTGTTCCTTAAAAGTTCAGACCCCAAAGGTAGGGGGTTGACTTGGGCCTTTCTCATTTAAAAAAAAAAAAAAGTTTCTAGTCTGTGGTAAGTGCATGCTAACAGGCAAGCAACGTGGAAGGCAGATGGAAACATTATTATTATTTTTCAGGGACCTGAGCCATGATTTTTTATTGCTTTACGGTTGTTCAAACGTACAAATCCTTGTGTGAGCGCTCTTTCTGTGATTACATAGTGATATAGGTCAAATTAGTTTAACTAGAATAGTTTACATTTTCATTGCATGTAATGTGAGCACAACTTGATATTGTAAACCTTGCATAAACATGCAAGATTGGGCTGCTTCTCTGTATGGGTGTCTGGCTTATTGTGGTTCTTTTCTTTGCCCACAATAGTGTTCCTATTACCCAAGTTCTTCTGGGTTAACCAGCCCCCCCAATAGTTACCTCCAGAATCCAACCACTGCAGCCTGGTGGATGGGCTCACCCATTTTAAAAGCATTAGAATCAGATCTTTAAGACATCGCACAGTATTAAAATATTCAGCACTGACTTGGTTCACACCCCTGACATATTTTGCTTGCATAGATAGGGGCTGGTCTACATTACAGACCTTCTGCTGCTATAGCCATGCTGCCATAGCTTTGTCAACAGTGCCTCTTAGTGGAGTCACACCTTATGCTGCAGAGGGGTATTTCTACATAACATTCTCAAATGACATAAGCTAAACGGGCAAGAGCTTGCTTTTGTTCCTACTCTACATCTCCACTGGAGTATAGCTCTGTTGGCCAAGGGGTGTGATCTAGTTGCATTCCTAGCTAACACAGCTATGCTACGCCCTCAAAACTTTATACCAAAACTGTAGACCAAACCTGTGCTACTGACTAAGGTGAAAAAGCATGCCCCCTCTAACTGAGATAGTGATGCTATTGTGCTACCATGTAGTTATTGCCAAGAGAAAAACCCCTGCCAAAATGTAGCTCTGTCAGAAGAACTACACCAGCAGAGTCTCCATAGCATAGACCGGGGTAGGCAATGTTTTTTGGCCGGAGTACCGAAAAAACCACAGTGGCTACCTTGCAAGGTGCCAGAGTGCCGACATGCCGGAGCCCTGAGTAGCTGTTTGCAGCCTCCCAGTCTGCTCCCACAGAGCTGCCTGCTGGGAGCAGCCTGGGCTCTGTGGCTGGCAGCAGCTGCTTAAAGCCCAGGTTGGCGGTGGTGTGCCGAGCAAAATGGCCTTGTGTGCCATGCTCGGCACACGTGCCGGGGGTTGCTGACCCCTGGCATAGACAAATCAGCTATCACATGAGGCTATCCAAAACTACTACAGCCAAATCAAAGTTAAAAATCATGTGAGTACTGATTTGTTCAAATGTGGTCTCTCAGTGAGAAATGCAGTGTTCAGTGACTCACAGATGGCCTATTCTGCTTGGCAGCAACAGTTAAGGTGGAGTGAGCCAAAGAGAGTCATCAAAGTAAATCTGCTTTTCCCTTACTGCCCTTTCCCTGAATGGATGGATATTAACTGGAAGAACTACTCTATAACAGCTGCACTTCATTTTGATCATTTCCTATTTTTCCCACTCAAAGCATAGTGTGGGAGTTACTGACATCTATACTTAACAAAGGTATAAATAAGAGGTAAATCAGACACACCTTTTTGTAGGGGTGTCACATATAATAATAAAATAACAATTTGCTTTATTTAATTGTCAAGAAGGTAATAGATATTTGAAAAACATGTAGAATCCAGATAATAGTAATAAGAATGATGACAATGTTAAAAAGATTAAAATCAAAGCAAAACAGGTTAAAAGTGCCTTTGAAAGCATATGCTGTAGAAACTAACCTAATTTTTCCAATATATTGTATATATTTTTCTTCTGTTAAAAATGTACTAAATCCAAATATTAAAAATCTGGACAGGAATTCTATGATCAATCCTTCTTTCTTAAACCTAATTCATTTAAAACCAGATAGTGTAGTAGTGAGACAAAACATCTAGTTGATCTTTGCAACCCATCTAAGAATTAGGTATTATCTCCACATTGGGGAATGGATTTCTGTATGCCTCACTGATGGGGAGATATTTTCAGAAAGTAGGGAGTTCAGAGAAGAGAAAAATTATCCTGGACCTGGAGGTATTGATTTAGGAGGGACAATTTTGAAACTGTTTTGCATGGTTCAGTGATGAGTCAGGAGGGTTTGTGATAGCAGGCTACAAATATTTGAGGGCAGTAAACTCCAAGGCTAGAAAAAATGTTTATAATTGTACAAGGGAGTATTAACATGATTGATTAGAAAAAATTAAAATGGAGAAGATGTACACTGAATATCAGGAATAATTTCTTAAGCCTGCAATGTATTGAAAATGTACTGGAAAACAAATTAGTTTGTATATAGCAGGAAACAATTTGATATTGATGGATACATGGACAGAAAGACATACAGTGTCTCCTTCATCCTCTGCTTCTAAGGACTTCACATTTAAGCTTGCCTTGAGTCTACACTACAAAGTTTGACCAGCCCAGCTACGTAGCAACCTCTTATCAACATAGCTACACCAGCACAAATCTCAGTGTGGGTCTAGCTATGCTGACAGAAGAGCACTTTGTCAGCTTTGCTTTTGTGGTTTAGGGAGGCAGTGTAGCTGTGCCCCTGGAAAAACTTGCTCTCACAACACATGCTGAATCTTTACTAGGTCTCTGTACCCATAAGGGCTGTAAAGGCTCCATATTGTAGACAAGGCAGTCTTGCCAATCCTAAAATCATGAGTTTGGTTAAAAAATGCGCGCTCTCTCTCTCTCTCTCTCTCTCTCTCTCTCACACACACACACACACACACACACACACACAGAGTTTGGTTCCTACATTCACGGAGAATCCATTCATATGAAGAATAAATCACTGAACCTTATAACCAGGATGTCCCTGGTTATATGGTTCTTTGTCCCTCCCTCCGCCATCTATATGCACAAGGGACTCTGGGACTTGTAGTTCTTGAGACAGCATGTCACATAGGGAAGCATAAATCCCTCTGTGTCTCAAACTACAAGTCCTAGAATTAACTAGACAAGCACACTCTCTGTTCTACAGAAGGGCCTTGGGCTGGCCAGCAACTCACAGTTCAGAATGTTGCTTGGTCCGCTTCTGATTGGCTTCAGCAAATCTCACAGTGGAGACCCCATATAGGTAGTGCATAACTTTCCATACATATCCTCAAGCATGACCTACAATGTAGCATTTGGGGTTTTTTCCTCATGGTAATAGGATTGCAGCCTGGGCCGGGCCCTCCTTGATCTCTGGGCCCTGGTAAAGAACACCCTTTCCTTCCCCATGCTTGGACCCTCCGTCTGCACACTATGCCCCTGAGGATACCGAAGGAGTTCGCCAGTGTGACTGCAGAGCCGTTAGCAATTATCTTGGAAAACGTGCGGCAATCAGGAGAGGTCCCAGATGACTGGAAAAGGGCAAATATAGTGCCCATCTTTAAGAAAGTGAAGGAGGATCCAAAGAACTACAGACCAGTCAGCCTCATCTCAATCCCTGGAAAAATCATGGAACAAGTCCTCAAGGAATCCATTTCTAAGTACTTGGAGAAGGAGGTGATTAGGAACAGACAGCAGAGATTCACCAAGGGCAAGTCATGCCTGTCCAACCTGAGTGCCTTCTGTGATAAGATGGCTCTATGGATGCAGGGAGAGCAGTGGACATGATATACCTTGACTTTAGCAAAGCTTTTGATGCAGTCTCCCACAACAATCTCACCAGCAAGCTAAGGAAGTATGGACTGGATGAATGGACTGTAAGGTGGACAGAAAAATGGCTGGATTGTTGGGTTCAAAGGCTAGTAATTAATGGCTTGATGTCTAGTTGAGAGCCAGTATCAAGTGAAGTGCCCCAGAGCTTGGTCCTGGGGCCAGTTTTGTTCAGTATCTTCATCAATAACCTGGAAGATGGGATGGAGTGGTTTGCAGATGGCACCAAGCCAGGGAGAGTAGTAGATATGTTGGAGGGTAGGGCTAGGATTCAGAATGACCTAGACCACTTGGAGGATTGGGCCAAAAGAAATCTCATGAGGTTCAACAAGGACAAGTGCAAAGTCCTGCAGTTAGGGCAGAACAATCCCATGCACCAGTACAGGCTGGGGACCAACTGGCTAAACAGCAGCAGAAAAGAACCTGGGGTTATAGTGGACAATAAGCTGAATATAAGACAACAGTGAGCCCTTATTGCTCAGAAGGCTAGTGGCATCCTGGGCTGCATTAGTAGGAGCGTTGCCAGCATATTGAATGAAGTGATTATTCTTCTCTATTCAGCACTGGTGTCCAATTTTGGGCCCCCTGCTACACAAAGGATGTAGACAAATTGGAGAGAGTCCAGCAGAAGGCAACAAAAATGGTGAAGGGGCTGGGGCACATGACTTCTGAAGAGAGACTGCTGGAACTGGGCTGTAGCTTGGAGAAGACTGAAGGGGGACGTAATTGTAGCCTTCAGCTATCTGAAGGGTGGTTCCAAAGAGGATGGAGCTAGACTGTTCTCAGTGGTGGCAAATGACAGAACAAGGAGCAATGGGCTCAAGTTGCAGCAAGGGAAGTTTAGGTTAGATATGAGGAAAATATATGAGGGTAGCAAAGCACTAGAACAGGTTACCCAGAGAGGTTGTGGAATCTCCATCCTTGGAGGTTTTTAAGACCTGGTTAGACAAAGCCTTACCTGGGATGATATAATTGGTGATATAATTTCTTTGAACAGGAAGTTGGAATAGATGACCTCCTGAGGACACTTCCAGCCCTAATTTTTCAAGACAAGTGCCTTCTGGATTAGGGCCCTGCTCCTGCAAGCACTCATATGTGTGCCCATACACACACAGGATCCAGGGAGGCTGCCCTGCTGCACCTGCACCACTGCTTTGATTTATGTCATACCCAAAGTTTAAAACCAAGTGCCTGGCAATGGCAGCAACCTTTCTAGTCAGGCAGTGCTCAAAGAGTCCAGTGATTTCATGGCTCATTGTAATCTACTGATCGGTGCTAAACTCTTCATCCCACAGGTGTTAATGACCCTCTCCTTTTGAATGGCCTTGATGTTCTGCCAGTCCATCCAGCTATGACCTGGTAGCTGCTCCTGGTCATGAAGCTCCTGTTTCACAGCCCTGCACATTTGTTTTTAACTCATTGCAGTGAAGTTCTGTTTGTTTTTGCTTCAATCTTAAACAACATAATACAGCCCTGGGCCACCAGCCTGTTGCTAAAGCTCCTCGTTTATTACCTGGAGAGAAATGCGTGTTGTGTTGTATGCGATGATGCACTTCACCCTCCTTTTCAAACTCCTAGAGATGCCCACACCCAGGCATGTTGGCAGACTCGAGTGCGTATGGCACAAGGCATTAAAAAACAAAATGTGGTAAATGGTGTAAGAAATAGTGATAGCAGGCAAATATTGCTGTAAGAAACAGTGATTTGGGGATGAAGCTGCAGTTGGTTGCTTATTTCCAGTTCCTTATTCCCGGTTCCCTATTCTTTATTCCCAGTTCCCTATTCCTTATTCCTGGTTCCTTTTTCAAAGCTAATCTAGACCCAATAAAAGCTTGTTATAAATTAATCACACATCCTAAAGAGAGAGAATTTCATAATTTCATTAACTGTGCATATTTACCAATTCATACGTAAAATAATATCCTACACCAAGTACAGAGCCCTAATTAAAGGTCAGATTAGAATGGGATTCTGGGGCAAAATACTTCTTGGGCCACCACAAACTTCCTGTTGATGCCACTGGGGGATTGTCCCAAAGAACCCTGACCACATATTTTACCTATTTGGTGGAGTCCCCTGGTCGTACAGAGGTATCCTGATGGGTGGCCCAAGCAGATTTTCTAGCCATAATCCCAGCCCAAAAGCCAATTCTTTATTCAGACTATTATACTTAGTATAATGGGCATGGTGGCTGTCAGCTGGCAGCCTGGCACAGCCAAACTGTGCTTTGGGCCAGGCGGGACTGTTCTTTGGGACAGTCCACCAGTGGCATCAACAGGATGAAATTTGCTCTCTTTAGGATGTGCAATTAATCAATAACAAGCTTTTATTGGGTCTAGATTAGCTTTGAAAAAGGAACCTGCACTGGGAATAAGGAACTTGGAATAAGCAAACAACTTCAGCCTCATGATTTGGGGCGGGTTTTGGAAACAACGCAAGCCCCAGGCAGAGTACCTCTCTCAGCCCCGATTGTTTGCTTATTTGCATCGCAGGGGGCCCCTCATGGCTACTAGGCAGGGAACTCGGGCCCCTCCGTCAAGCCCCAAAGGATCCCGCTCCTCTGAGGAAGTTGCTCAGGCCCAGCCCCTGCGGCACCCGAACCCCTTGATGAGACCTCCCAAGTCCCCACCAGCCAGCATACCCTCCTATCGGAACCCGAACCACAGACCCCAAAAGGAACCAGATACAGCTCCACCCCCACTTCTACTCCCCGCCTCCTCCCATTCCCTTCCTGCCCACCTAAGATCGGGAGCTGCGATTGGCTGCGCCGTCGCGTTTAGGCGATGACTAATGGGCGGGCAGGGTGCTGAGGCGGGAGTATGGCGGATCGGCTCACGCAGCTGCAGGACGCGGTGAATTCGGTGAGGCGCCGTGACGGGGCTGCCGAAGCCCGGGTGGCTCCTGGTCCCGCTTCCTTCCCCGCCACCAGTGGGCGTGGGTCGGGGGGCGCTATCTTAGGGAGGGGAGAAGGGGTCCCGGGGGAGGTCCGGGTGGGGGTTGGGAAGAGGTTGGGGTTGGTGGGAGTGGGGTTGTGAGGAGGGTAGGGGTTTTGCGTTTGGCCACTGGGCGTGGCTGAGCCTGACATGCGATGCTTCTTGCAGCTCGCTGACCAGTTCTGCAATGCCATTGGGGTGCTGCAGCAATGTGGCCCACCTGCCTCGTTCAGCAATATCCAGACTGCCCTCAACAAGGACCAGGCAGCCAATCCCACGGAAGGTAAAAAGCATCTCCTTGTGCAGCCTTTCTGGCTGGCAGCACTGGCGGGGCAGCTTACTGGTGCACACAGGGGTTGGTGAAGGTAGGAGCCAAATGAGATCTGTTCTGGGTCCCTGCAAGAGCGCAGATGTGAGTGATGCTGTCTGGAGTTGGTAGAATTGTAGGAAAGGCAGCTGGAAGGGACCTTGAGAGGCTGTCATTTCCAGCCCATAGCCTTGGCAGGGTTATTCCTCACTAAGCCGTCACAGAATTACCATCCTGATGGCCATATTATCCAGAATACCAGTGTGATGGTATCTGGGAACAATCCCATTCTCTGTCCTGCCATTACATATTTTAGAGCAAAGCAAGAATTGTCTTTCAGGGAGGCAGTTTGAAATATTTAGTTTTAAATGATTAGGTCAGCCCTAATTTTATTCTGTGTGTTTCTGAAGTGGGAACTCTTCTGATCTAGGTGCACAACCAAAAATGCTTCTCAAATTAATCTCCTTTTGCTTTATGTTCTAAATCAGGTTAGGCTTGACCTTGGGGCTATCACAGTGCACAATAGTGCTGTGCTGCGGTTCAGGGCAACTGAACCATGCACAGCCCTGCATGCAGCATGTGCTGGTCCCTGTGCTCACTGTGCAAAAGGCCCCCTGGACACTGCAGTGCCTGGGTTGGACCCAGAGCTGCTGGCAGCACAGGAAATCTGAGGCATGGGCTGCAGGCGGCACCCTGGACTGATTTCCTGCCCTGCTTGCAGTGCTGGGGCCACCCAGTGCTAGTTCCAGGGGCTGGCATGTGGTGCATGAGCTGGACCCAGCACTGTCGCTACTCCATGGTAAGGGTGGGCAGTGGGAGAGGGGGAGAGTCCCAGTTCAGTCCACAGACTGACTCAGAGACGCTTGGCTGGCTGCAGGGGTAGATGCGTTGGATACCTCTGCCTTAAACTCTAGCTAAAGCAAATTCTACTTGCTACAGCATGTGCTAATCTGGCCACTGGCTAGACTAGTATGTCTTGTACAACCTTGAAGGTGCTAGACTAGCCTCTCCCTAATATTGATGTCCTTGAAAGCAAGACGGTTTTTAAATACTGTTTGCAGAGTGCTAATTTTTACATTTAAGAGACAAAAACATGTGAACAGGACTATTGAAACAAACATTGTCAAAATGACACTTGATTAGACATGTAAAATGTGTGTTAATGTATTATTTTTTTTTTTAAAGCATATTAAATCTTTAACCAGAGTATTAGTTGTATTTTCTTAGTTGCCTTTTTTTCTTGTGTGCGGCTTCTTTTTATTCTCTTCCATATTGTTTGGTGATTGCTTTTGGGTTTTTTTTTGGGGGGGGGGGGGGGG